AACTTCAAAGTGTTTTGGGATTCATTAAATCCCTACAAAAACTCGGGCGGTCAAAGGGTGCAGGGGACTGGATACTATGAGCTGGATCACTACCTTACGTCGAATTTAGCCGTTACGATTGCACGTCCACCTCAACCGCCACTCAATTTCGATGTGTTAGATTGGTGGTCAAGAATGGAAGGAATTTTTCCTATTCCATGCATTATGGCCAAGGAGATCTTTGCTGTCCCAGCATCTACAGTCGCGGTTGAGCAAGCATTCAGTGAGGGCGGCTACATGCTAGATCCACGACGGTCGAGGATGACGCCTGATAATCTTCAAGCACAAATGTTACTGAGTGATTGGAAGAAGGCCGAACGAAGGATGCAAACTGCTATGCTCACTTCGAATGAGGAGGAGGACGACAACGACGAAGCATCCGATTTTACGTCGTCGACAAGTGGAACCGGGGGGGACGTCGAAGACGAATACGAATATTAAAGGTATGCAGCCAAGGTATGTGTTTTAGAAGAACTACGTGGACTTTGATTCCCAAATAAAGGGATACGTAGGCACCTTATTTAACATTATTAAGTTCGAGTATAATTTTTTGGTAACAAAATTTTTCATCGCACACGATATTCGAACTTAATAACTGTTAACTAAGCTCAAGTCCATTTCATTAATAATTTTTTTCTTTACACTTAAGTTGTACTTCTCCGCCATACTCAATAAAATACAACACCGTTAACCGTTTGACGTACAATTTAACAGACTCAAAAACTTATATTTTCGAAGTATATACAAACTATTTATTCAAATAAACATTAATATACATTAAAATAACAAAAAAAAAAAAAAAAAAATTAAAACCCGCAAACCCGCCGGGCCCGACCCGGAACCGGGTCGACCCGCCGGGTTTGCGACCCGGCGGTTAAGGGCCGGTTCAGTGAACCGGCCCTTGGTTACAGGCGGGCCGGGCCCGGTTCACACTATGTTGAACCGCCGACCCGGCGGGCCGGGCCGGGTTTCGACCCGGCCCGGCAGTTGGTCACGTCTAAACCCGGCGCATCGAGACACTGTGTGACTGTAAATAATCTCAATAGAAAGTAAAATTTAATATTTTACCTAACCACACAGTCTATTGATCCATCAATTGAATCTCACTTTTTGGTATGTCAAAGTAATAGATTAAATGCCCCTGTATTAAAAATCGGCCTAGGCGTTGCCCGGCCTCCTCCGATTTGCATAAATCGGCTGAAAAAATCAGCCAGGCGGCTAGGCGGCGCCTAAGCGGGTCTATGCGGACCTAGGCGCTCCTAGACGGGCTCGGAGGGTAGGGTGCCTAGGCGGGCTTAGGTGGATTTAGGCGCTCCTAGTCATGCGACAATTTTTCAATTTTTTTATTTTTTTTAATGCTAATTTCATTATTTTGTTATCTGTTTTCTTATAGTATATTAATATTATTATTGGACTTAAGTGTGTTGATTATCATAAGTTGAGATAGTTTTGTTTGTACGTAGTGAAAATAAATAAAAAATAAGGTATTTTAATCTTTAACTTTTAGGCCCGCCTAGGTGTCGACTTGGCCCCTCCTAGGCGCTCCAGGCGCTAGGCGCTGGTCGAGCGCCTAGCGACTTCTAGAACATCGTTAAATTCACACGATCATTCATTACCTTACAACTTAAGAGTATGAGTAATAACTGAGGTCTTTATTATTTAATAGGTAAATATAAAATAATCTTCTCCATGAGGTCCGTTCAATACATTCATAATGTACTATTGCAATTCATTAATCAAAACAAACTAATTCAAAATTACACTACAACTTTTCACGATAGTTTGTTTAATTTTATCTGGATTGTGAACCACACTTTATACTTTACAAAGAATCGATAATATTATATTTTGTTCAACAAAATGAATCATACTATCTACAATGTTAAACAATAGAACAAACACTTTTGACTAAACATGATTCTCATTAAAAGTGCTAAAAATAAGTTCGTAAACAAAATCAAGCTTTTAGTGTACAAACCTATGGTCTCTTACTACCATGTCCGAACAATCCACCCTGAATGCTTCCGGTCTGTGGTCGACCGAGTCTCGAGTTGACTTCCAAGTCGGTCTGGGTTTTCATAACAGTGGTTTAACGACTCAATAAATAAACAAATGCGGACTAATATACTAGCTCATCAGTATAATGCATTTCACATTTCAAAGTTTAACCGTCACGAAAGTCAGCCCGTCGTACTTTCTTAATAACAATACATAGTTATAATATGAAATGTTTTATCAATCCAAGGATGGAAGGGTAGAGGCCTTTAGTGTCCCTTCCAGTCAAGAACCATAATTTTGCTATTTGGATCTTCACTTTCTCTAGTATTTTTAATAGGACCAAGATTCTAATCCTATCAGTTTGCGCCTAGTC